TTCACGACCTCTGTTTGCTCTTTGTTGGTTTCCTCAACTGAGATGCTATTTTGCTCCCCATTATCATCTTTCAGATCTCTGGTTTTTGTTGCAGAACCACCCTTAGGCGGTGGATCTTTCTTTCTCGGCCGGCCTCTGCCCCCCATCTCCGGCGTTTCCAGCTAAACCACCACGCTCGCGAACGAGAGCATGGTTGACGGAGACAGAGCAATATTTACTTCTTCTATCCTCGCTTCCTTAACTTTTAGAGTAGAATAGTTTGTTTTAATATATATTTTTTAATTTTTGAGTTACATGATAACAATTAATCATATTTCATTTTTTTTACTTACCTTTGTCCTTACATAACATATTGTTGAAATTAAACGAAACATCTTTTACTTTTACTTTAAAAAAAGCTATCATTGAGTTGTTATTTAATTGTATAAAAAAGCATTTTATAGCATGAAGTGTAAAATAACAAATTCTTAATTGTAATTGTTAGTACACTCAAGAGAAAGATTTGAAAAAAGAAAGGTGGTCTAACTTTTATTATTTTCAAAGGAACAGTCCGCGTGCTCCTAGTGGGAGTAAAATGTAACAATAAGAAATAGAGAGATTATAATTTTGTTTTGGTAGAAATTTTGGGCCTACTTAAATTCCCCCTAAAAAAATAAAAATAAAAGAGTTAATCTATCAATTTTAGTATATATATATTTTTTTTTATCTCTTAATTTTAAGTTAAAAAATTAAAAATATACATATTTAAATAAATTTTATAGATTAATTAATAAAAGGCTAAAAAGAATATATTTTTTTTTAATTTTTGAGAGACTTAAAAAATACATAAAAAAAAAATAAATGATGAAAATTACGTAAAACCTAAAAAATTGTGAGAACAAAATTCACATTTAACCACAAAAAACCCCTTGATGGAACCCTGATAAATCCAGCCCCTTCGTCATCTCGCCTTCCCCTATAGCCGCAGCACAATCTCTTTCACGCAAACCCCTCACGCCCGACGGTCCTAACCCCATGTCCGCACCTTCACCGGCTGTGGAGTCCGTCCAGTGCTTTGGACGCAAGAAAACGGCGGTGGCCGTCACCTACTGCAAGCGCGGCAAAGGACTGATCAAGATCAATGGCTGCCCCATCGAGCTTGTGGAGCCCGAGATCCTACGATTCAAGGCCGTTGAGCCAATCCTACTCCTCGGACGTCACCGCTTCAACGGAGTGGACATGAGGATTCGCGTCAAAGGTGGAGGGCACACCTCACAGATCTACGCGATCAGGCAGAGCATCGCCAAGGCTCTCGTCGCCTACTGCCAAAAGTTTGTGGATGAGCAGCAGAAGAAGGAGATTAAAGACATCTTGGTGAGGTACGATAGGACTCTGCTCGTTGCCGATCCGAGGCGGTGCGAGCCCAAGAAGTTCGGTGGTCGTGGCGCCAGAGCTAGGTTCCAGAAGTCTTACCGTTGAAGTATCAGAAAGAAGAATGTTCTTCTTATGGTGGTTTTGTCTCATTTTTTTAGCCCTTTTAATATTCAACTGCATTTCCTTATATTATTCGCAGTTATTGGATGCTACAAATGTTTTGATTCTAATTTTCCAAAGCAATTTTGTTTTATCTTGCTCAAGTAAGACCAACTCTTTAATTGATTGTGTTCTTTTACTTTATGCATTAATGGGGTTTCAGACTAAATTCTGCTTGATGATCATAACAAGTAGCCTTTGTATTCAGAAATTTGGATTTGGTTCTGGATGGTAGTTGTTCTTGTTAGGATTTGTTTTATACACATATGCTTTAGCTAAATGTGCACTTTAGAAGAATCTAGTTCCGCAAAATGATGACTGTTTTAGTTGTTTTTGGCTGTTAAAACTGGCTCAATTGTTTGTGAATTCCTGCTTGAAGCCTACACTCTGTTTGATGACAACTGGGCCAAATGCATGTGATTGATGGGTATTGAAATTCATTGGTTTAATGCCCAATTTGGTCCCTAAACTTTCATTTTTAAACTTAGTTCATCCTTTAACTTCAAAAAGACCCAAATCGTCCCTAAACTTTATTTTTTCAGTACTGCATCCTTGGCACTTTAAATCTCTACCAATTATCTTTTTTAATTTTCATAAGCTTACGTAGGAAAAACACCACACAAAACAA